TGGCTGCAATGCACTGGCAGGCACTGATAAGTGACTTACTGTTTCATATCACACATTTACTGAATTTTCAGTTTGAAATGTACAGTCTGGGATGACAGCCAGTCATTCAACCTATTCTTGCCTCAAAGAGTGTAAAAAACCAGGCAGACAAAAGAAGGAACACCTGGCAAATGTCTTGGGTTTAAAACAACAAGAGAGAGAGGTAATGGTATCCATGGTTAGGAGTGAGATAACTTTCTTCTCTACAGCATGTGTTGAAAACATTTTCAAAACATTGAGATGCCATTTAGCTACGGCCTAGCACAAAACAATGTGGAGAATTAAGCAAACAAACAGGAGAACTGAAGCAGAGACAGCATAAAGCCCAGCCTGTGTTGCTGGGCAGGGGCCCTGGTGCCACCCTGCCAAGCTCACTGGGGCTGGGCACAGCAGCTCCTGTGCCACTGTCTCATTCCTGGGCATCCCAGAGCTGTCTGCTCTCCCTGACTCAGAGTGATGGGAGCTGCCCTGGAAGATGGATTTAGCTTGGAAGGTGGCCCTGTGGTTCTGTGAAACAGCCGTTCCTCACTGGCATGGCAGATGATGTGGTTTCCTTGGGAAAACAGTGTGGCACAGGGATAGGAATAAAGAATCAGCAGTGCTGCAGAAGAGGTTTCCGCCTGACAAGGGCTGTCAGTGGGCTTTTAAATTATTTTCTTTCAATTCATCAGCTTCAGTTTTGGGGGTTTTTTGTTCAGTATTTGCATTGTTTAAAGCATAAGGAAGTAGTTGTGTCATTGTTCATTTCAGAAAAATAATACATGTTTGGGTTTTCCGTTTTAGTTCTTTTGTGAAAAGGAGTGATGAGGAGGTGTAATGTCTCTTTAGCATTTAGTAATGTCACAGAGGATAATTCAGCACAACTCAGATACAATCTCCATTACTTTTTGAGGTAGTATTGACAAAGAACTGGGATGCAGGGAAGCAATTGCTTTGCTTAGATTAGGGATGCTGCCTTTTCTGCTTTGTATTTCATCTCTGAGGTGGGAGATCAACTTGTTCTTCTCAGTTCATTGTTTTGCTTGGATTTAGTGCATGAGTTAAGCGAGTGTACCAAAGCCTAGGAAGAGCTATGAAAAACTATTTGACAGTGTTAAAGCAGATCTAAATTTTGTCTTTTAGTCAGCATTTGGACTGTAAAAAGCCAAGCAGTGATGTTTGGAGGCATGTGCTCAGGAGCTCTCAGCCATCACTGATGTACCTGGAACTCTGGGACATCCAGGGGCTCTCTGTGACCTCTGGGGCTGCCAGGCTGTACCACAGCAGCACTGTTATGGTGCACAGGCTCCTGGAGGACATGTTCTATGCTAGCCTGCTCTGTTTCAGTGTTTCACTAGGTAAAAGAATAAACTGAGCAAAAAAAAATTTTTTTTAGTCTTCTTGTTCTGATTAAACCCAACTAAGTCAATTGAGTAGTTTATGATTGCTTCAAAGCTACACAGATCAGACTGTATTCTCAGATTACTTAATTACAACACAATTTACCCTCACTCAAATTCTAATTTGAAACGAGTGCTGCTGATATTCTTGACTGCAGTAAGATCTCTTGAAGAATGACATGTTGATTATGTGGACACCGGGCCATGTTTTTTTTTAAATGCTCAGCACAATCAGTGTCTACTAAAATTGATTGGAATTAGATATGTTGTCTGTTTGTGAGTTTAAATGAGACATTTTAAAAAAATTAAAAAGCCTAAGTGTGGCGAGTACCAGTATCTCAGATTTCCAGGTATTTGATTTTCACTATGGTTTTAAAAGACTTTTCCTTAAATTCTAAAGTTTGGAGCTTGTATAGTGTGTCATGGTGAAATGACTAATTCAGCTAATAATTGAGAAAAGGCATTATTTCCACAGTATTCTCCCCCTGACCAATACTGGCTGCTGCTGTACCAAAAATAAAATCTATTTCCTGATGTAAAAAGCCAGTGCACTCCATCAAGACACTCATTTTGTTTAGGCTTCCAAATCAAAGGCAATTTCCAGGGAGCCAGAGTGTGTCATGCTGTAGGATCCATGGGGCCAATCCCTTTGGATCCTTTATTTATGGGACAAGTGATTTCCTCCTCTGAACTTCAGAGTTCAGCAGAGTTGCAGGTACTGCTGGTGAAGTTTTAATTTAGACAAAGATGCTCATAGAGAAGTGCTCAGATGTTCAGATGTGAATCCAGTTTTATATCCCTGGCAAGTTGAACAGTGCTGGGCTTCTGCTTTTGATTAATTTGAAGAGGTTTATGAAGAAGCAGCGCATTAAGCTTTTATCTCTCTCATATATACACGAGTGTGTGCACGCTCCCTTGTTAGTACTTTTTCTATATATAAGCTTTTATACATTTTAATAGGAGCTATATAATAGCTACATGATGTTAATATTGCTATTTGTTTATTTTTCCATATTAAATGCTACATTTATCTTACACCAGATTTCAGAGTTTTTGTAGCTGCAATATGTGTTCAGTTACCTCTGAAACAGCTCGTTTTGCAAAGTATCTTACATTTACTGTGTGGGAGATGAATCTTGAGGCAGATTAAATAATTTGTGGTAATTTGATTTCAGCTCTTTTTTAGTCTTACAGAAATGCTGTTCATTCTCATTGATGTGCACTTGGCTCACTTTAAAGAACAGCCTCCATGATATTGTGGTGACAAGATTCAGAGTCTTTATTTAACTGGTGCTACTGTGGCTCTCGGAGCAAAACTGTTTTGTTTATGTGGGTATGACTTTTTTGTACTTATCCTTGAGAAGGAAAAGCTGCATCTGAAGCAAGTTGAGAAAACAGGATGCATATGAATCTTTTGAAGTAACTATTAACACAAGGGCACATATTTGTATTTTATCACTCATAAATATTCACTTATTGAAATCCAAGCATGCTTTGTTTAAAGTCAGAACACAGACTAGGAGAGTAATTCCACTTAAGCTTCTGTGCATGTGAATATTTTCCAAACACATTTTCTTCCTGCTGTGTCCTGCTCTGCCTGCTGTTGTGGAATGGCACAGGACCTAGTACAGATTACAGATTTGATGTTCTTGGAGATTCAAATGGGGGTTTTAAACATCAAACTTTATTGGCTAAACAGTCTCTTTTATGCTTAGATAAGACATAGCCAAGGATAGTGAGGAGAGCTGCACATGTGATGGCCTTAAAATTTAGGATGTGTTCATAAAAGGTGGCTTTGTATTTAAAGCAGCTGACATTCCCACAGGGTGCACATTCTGGCAACAAACATTCAAGAAAGATAAAGAAACTGCTGTGTAGATTTAAGGCAACATGTGGAGGATGCAGAATTTATTAAAATTCATTTCTTAAAGTTTCTTGTCAGAGGACAAGTTACATTTGCCCTGTGTAAGCCCCAGTAAACCTGGCTCTGTTCCTCAGCAGCCTGTGCTTCCCCCAGCCCTCAGAAATGCTGAAGAACATGAACAGCCTCTCTCCAAACCTGCCGGTGTCTCTGCTCCCTGGTTGTGTTGCTGTTAGGAAGAGGCTCTTTCCCTGCTTCTCCCTGGGCAGGCAGTCTGCAGAGCAGTGCCAGGACAGAGCTGCTTCTCCCTGGGGTCAGGCTGGGAAAAAAAACCTTCTGAGATGCTCGAGTCTGACCCCTAACCCAGCCCTGGCAGGTCACCACCAACCATGTCCCTAAGTGCTGCTGCAGCTCAGGGTTCCATACCAGGGAAATATCCTCCTGCTGCTCTGGGGTTTGGGTTTGGGGTGTTATTCTGTGTCTATTTTGGGTTTTTTATAAATATGTGCCTTAATTAAGTTACAGTAATTACTCAGTTCAGCAGCATTTCTAGACTTCTTTTTTTTTCATGTGACAAAGATCAGTCTTGCTGCAAATGATGTTTTGTGATATTTTCTTTGTATTATTTGATTCATTAAGTACAATGAAGTACTTTGCTTCAGTTTCTAAAAACAAACATGCATCATTAGAATTATAATTTCTCTAGTATTACTGATTAATGTTCACTAGAAAACAAAGTGATACAATGTCTAAAGCACACAGTTCATAATAGTGTTTGTTTTTGTAATTCTCTTTTGCTGTTTTTATTAGACATAAATTATTGTAATGTGTGGAATTGCACATGAACTTATTTACCAGTCTACATTTACGTTTAGAAAAGTGACAATGTTAGAATGGCACCTGCTTATCAGATTTTCTTTTCATGTGCTGATGTGATTTTAATCCATTTGCCTTAACGATTAAAAAAATATTTTTCATTATTGATGCAAACATATCAGTACTCAAAGAATGAGATAAGTTTATATCCTTCTTTATCACTAAAAAAAAAAATCATCTGTTATTTTTCAATGAAAGAGACTGAAAAAGTTGCATAATTTGCAGATCTTGCTGTGTGTTTGTGGCATTACTAAATAGAAAAACAGAGGCCAAATCCTGATCACATGGAATAACATGAAAGATACCATCACTGCCTTGCTGCTCTCTTTTCATATTTGGAGTTTAATCTTCTTGTGCTGGCACAAATCCTGTTCATTTGAAGCTGATTGGTAAAATACAGTGAATGAAAGAAGATTGATTTCTCTGATTAAGTTTTATAGGGGCCTAAAGACCTTATTCTCAAAGGCTCTTTGTAATCCATTAAAGTTCATCTGCTCAAAGTCCCTGATAGAAACGGGGGGTAAATTTCCTCCTGGTAGGTGTAGGGAATGGTCCAGCTAGGCTGCTGTCCTGGCTGCTCCACTGAGGAGACTTTCCCCAGGGAGAATCCATGAAAAAGTATTTTAAAATTTAAATAGAGTCTTTGTCAACACGCCAGCTGTGCAGGCTGGAAGCACTGTTTTGTGTTGCTGATCTCCAATAATCCCTGATCTGCTTTGCCCAGGCTTTGATGCCCACAGGTCCAAGAGGCACAGTCTCTTTTCCCAGGCAGCGGCCCCTTGAAAATGCCGAGGAGAGCAGTGCCACCACACACATTTGTGATTTGTTTCTCTTTTCTGTTTTAGGCCCTTCAAATCATCACAGCCAATCAACGCTGAGGCCACCTCTCCCTCCTCCTCACAACCATTCCCTGTCCCATCACCATTCCTCTGCCAACTCCCTCAACAGGAACTCGCTCACCAATCGCCGCAACCAGATCCACGCGCCCGCTCCGGCACCCAACGACCTGGCCACCACCCCCGAGTCCGTGCAGCTCCAGGACAGCTGGGTGCTCAACAGCAACGTCCCTCTCGAGACCAGGTGGGTGCTTGTGGCATTCACATTCTCTGAGCATGGTCCCTTCGCCCAGGGTTTTCCTCCTGGGAAGCTGAAAGGCAGCGAGAGGCGTCAGAGAAAAGGAAAACAATTCTTATGTGGTTTGCTTCTCCTGTGTTGTGCTCATGTGGAATGTGTTTGGGGATTGTTTACCCACAGGTGATTGCTTGATTGCACTCTTGTGTGAGTTGTTTTGACTCTTTGGCAGATCAGGGCCAAGCTGTGTCGGGACTCTGGAAAGAGTCATGAGTTTTTCATTATTATTTTTTTACCATTCAGTAAGTATCTTTTCTGTATTCTTTAATATAGTATAATATCGTTTAATATAATACAGTATAATAGAGTAATAAATTAGCCTTCTGACAACATGGAGTCAGATGCATCATTCTTCCCTGCCATGGGGCTGACTGTGCATTTACGATAGGTGGTGGGATGGACTCCCTGGGGGATGCCACTGGTGGTCCTCCAGAGCACACAGAGAACACCCTTGGTTTGCTGGGAGATGGTGTCCTCTGTGTCACAGGTGGTTTTTCTGAAACAGCATAGGGAGTGAGTGGCATTAGAAGACCCAGCAGCCCCAATCTGCTTTGCACTGGAAGGTGCACAGTGAATAACACTGCTCACATCCCATTTTAAAGCCTTTTATTCACTTGGACCTTCCTTGTATACACAACTCATGCGATTAATACAGCATATTTATATTGCAGGCTCAGGGACAACTTACTTAGAATTCATATTGACTGTGCTGCTGGAAAATTATACATTTTGCCTTTCCTGAAGCAACAAACAGAGGCTCACTTGACATTATGCATTTTGGGAGACTTTGGGAAACAATCCGAGATTCATGACTGACAGTACTATAATTTTAATTTATACCTCATCCAGCATGCAAGTTCATTTTAATCTCTTCTGTACATGTTAACAGCTTGATGCCTATGGGGCAAACAGCAGCATATAAATGAAAAGGTGCAGCACTTAGGCCTGACAGAGAAATATTCTGGTCTAAATATTCTGGTCTAAATATTCTGGTTTGTTGTCATTTGGGGTATGGAATGTCAAACATATTTAACTTGCACTTTAAATAGCAGAGTTGGCAGAGCTGATCTCTCAGAATTTAAAATTAGCCATTGTGGTGCTGAATCAAGTGCTTGGAAGAGCAGGGTGGTGTTGCTTGCCCAGAGAGTGATAAACACAGCGAGCAGGTGGAGGAGCTGGGCTGCTGGGAGCACTGGCTCGTGCCAGGGTTTCAGCTGCTTGGTTGCCACAGCTTCTGGGATGTTATGTTTGGTTTGCAGCCTCCCAGGGCTTTCAAGGGGCTCTGCTGGATCACACCCCAAGGAGCCACATTTGGGGGAATTACACCCCCATGCAGCCCCAGCCCAGCCCCTCCAACACTTGGTTAAAGATGCTCCTCTGGTTTGGAGCTCTGGGAGGAGCTGGTGTGGCTGGGCTGGCACTGACAGCACCGAGGCTGGTACTCAGGGGTTAATCAGTGGTGGGTCACAGCTCCATGGGGAGCATATGAGCCTGGGAGGGGCAGGGGGTCTGTGCTGGGCTGGGGTGTGCACAGGGGCACACCTCACTTTGTCCTGCTCTGCTAAAATGGGAACGTGGATGCTGTGAAGAAGTGGAAAGCAAATTCAGGTTATCCGAAACCAAGATGGCCAAAAAAAGGAAAGGAAAGGGATTCTTGCTTACTGAAGGTTTGGAACTAACTCCCTTAACTCTGAACTGCTGTTTTTGTGAGAACCTCTGCTATTTTACAGAACTTAATTTGGACATCCTGAATTTGTTATTTATTGCTAAGAATTACAAGATGGAAATGTTGGTCCTGTTCATCCAGACTAGTTTTTGTGGTGTGGTTCATTGCTTTTAATTTTGGTGTAGAGTGGCCACCTGCTGTTCCTGGTCTGCCTCTTCCTGTATGGAATTGTTCTTGGGTACAGCAATACCTAAATGTATCATTTCTGAAGGCTCAAAACTGTCCCAATTTACCAATCACTTTACCTGGAGGGAATTCCTTGGGATATTCACAGAAGGATTCTCTGCCATCATCCTGGCATCCCTGAGCCACAGCAGTGGGCATTTGTCTGGCTGGGTTTTTTTACTGTCTGATTTTGTACCTATTCCCAGCCAGAGGTGACTGTGAATGCCTTTACTGACTTTGGTTCTTCTCTTTTTTCTTATCCTGCAACCTCTGGGAGTGTATGTGTACCTGACAAAAGGTTACTTTGTGAATACTGTTATTTTTGGAGGTTGCAGGATGCCCCACAGTTAATTGGAGCTTTTTGGAAGACAGGTTTGTCACAGGCAAGCATTAAGCTATTAGAAAATGTCCTGGCAGAATTGCTGTGTTCCAAAACTATTCCAGAGCTGCTTCAGGATCGATTTTAGTTCTTCTCTGAAATTACACACCTGACAGGGCTTGATGACAAGTTTCATCACGAAAATATTAACTCAAAAATGACTGAAACTGATGCTTGTGAAATCATTGAGGCTTTTAGAATTAGCCTGTAATTCTTTCACTTTAAAACTGGTGTTTCATCTACATTCATACCAATAGCAACAAAAAAAAAAAAAGGGTATCTTTTTGGTAACTTTTTACTTCAGCCTTTACTTTAAAGCTTTAGCTTGTTGCAGAACATTGACCCCTCTCATGCTGCCTCTTCACAGTGCACTACTCTAATTTTTTATCTTGTTATCTGTTTATTAATCTCAGTAGAGGAGAGCTCAGGAGGCAAAGCCAGCACTGACAGCACCTGCTTTATCAAGAGAGGGTTTCATAACTCTTAGTTTTCATCTTTCACTTACCTTCAGTAGATTCTGCTCTCAACTGAAAATGATGTGCAAGTGGTCACATTACTGATTATGAAACAAAAGGTGGCACCTGAGCTGTCTGAAGGGAATGCTTTGTGTCAGCACTACAAAACTCAGATCACAATTTAGATTCCAGATGTCTCTTTATCTAACAGTACCAAGTGCTGAAATCATTGAATAATACAACACACGTCTGCATGTTGCCTTTTTTTTTTTCCCTGGTAAGAATATTTTAACCTTCCCTTTGTTCCTTTGCTGTCTTAGGCAGTTTGGGCTAAATTCAGACTGTTTGGAGACATCGCATTTTCCAAACATCCTTTCTCTGTCTGTCTTGTTTCAATATTGATTGGAGGTTGTTAATCATATTTGGTTTATTTTCTTTGTGATGTAAAGGAAGCTTTTACTGCTTGCACATGTTTTCATGTGGCCTTTTCAGGTAACGGTGCCCAAATCTTTGTGTATCCTTTGTGGTGCTGTATTTGTTACATAATTACATTTATCTGTATTGCAGCAGCTCATTGCTTCCAGTGGAGTTATGAGTTTGCACATGCCTATGCAGAGTTCCTAATTGTACTTATTTAGTTGTAGAATGGTTTGGGTTTGAAAGAGCTTTAGGATCATCATGGGCAAGGACACCTTTCACTACATCAGGCTCCTCAAAGCCCTGGCTGACCTGACCTGGAACACTTCCAGGGATGTGTGCTTGGTTTTAGTGTGGCTGTTCCTGGTTCAGGTAAACAGACAGGGGCTGTGCCTTCCCTTCCCTGCTTTATGGCTGCACCAGGCTGGCTACATAATCCCTCTGTTTTCTTTGAAATAAGGGGCTGTAACGGAAGGGTTGAAATATCTCTAAGTAAGGACACAGTAATGCATGGCTGTAGCATTTTTATGGTGCTATTTTTATGGTTCATTTCTGCAGTATTTAGCTGCTTTACCTTTAGGCTCAGAGCTGCTGTTTAATGCTCTTTAACTTTTATTGTCCTCTTGCAGTCTGTTTCAAAGCATCTCCTCCTCCTCCTAACAAAGTGCTGGTTTCTACCTTCTCCACCTGAGAGGTGTTCCTTTATTGCTGCTTTAATCACTGCTTTCCAAGGGGATGTGTGATGAAAATACTGCCTTTGAACATCCCAGGGTGGGTCTAGTTCCTTCCTGACAGCCAGAGGGGCAGTGCTCTGCTTTAAAGCTGGGACTGCTTTGAGGGCACAGGGAGAAAGGAATGGCTTTGCAGGGGAGGCTCCCATGGCTCCTCACACAGCAGGAATCCTCTGGGATGAGAACCCCACATGGGCACTGGGATGACTGGTGAGGAAGGAGAACAGAGGAGCTTCCATGGATGGATGTTTCACTGCAATTGCCTCATTTACTAATGCCTCTTTCAGTACTTTATATTGATGTAAAATTAATTGTTACCATTATAACTAATAATACTTAATTCAGGAGAAAAAAAGGGTAGAATTAAATAGAAATTACTCTTATTCTTCAGTTCTCATAATTAGTCTCATAATTTGAAATATTTTCAGTCCAAATCTTTCAGTTGCAAAGATAATTTTATATCTATGTCTGTAATTTTTTTGTGCTTGCTCACAAGGATGTGATGCTAGGCTTTAAGGAATGCTGTAATATCCTAATGTTTCTTCTGTGTTTCAGGAGAAATGGCCACCCTTCTGGTGAAGATGAAATAGGTTTCTTTAGATCTTGTGGGCTGTAGTATAAGAACAATGGTCCAAATCTGAGGTCATTTGTGCTAAGTTCAGTTTAAAGATTGAGGAATCTGAAAATTTAACCTGAAAACAATTGCTATGAACCTTAAAATAACTCTTCAAAATATTTGCCTTTTCCTGGGGTTCAAGCCTCATTTGTTACTTTGCCAGTCTGATTCCAGCCCAGTCACTCGGGGTGAGCCTGAGGACAGGAATGAGAGCACAAAGATGGAGCAGCAATGTGAGCTGTATCCCAGTGTGCACCATGCAGTGCTTGAACTCCAAATCGTGGGGTACCACAGCTGGGAAACATCTGCACCCAGTGCTCCAGTTCATTGCAGTGCAGGAATGGACACAGTGCACTGAGCCTGTGCACAGCCTACAGCAGGCAGGGCAAAAGAGCCAAGAATAGGACACGTGAGGAGAGGGATTTAACAGTGGGAGAAAGCAATATTAATTTTTTAAAGA